CCACACCGTCAACACTGAAGATCCAAAATGAGGAGGCTATGGCTTCCTGGTTTTGTGAAGTATTCTGCTATGCATATGCAATGCACAGAGTAGAAGTCAGGTCAAACCCCTTCTTAGCTATCCTGTGTAGTCCACAATCACAGTGACGAAGAGACCGTTGATCATTTTGGGGTTTTCCCCTTGGTGCATAATCTTGTGAGCCAACCCCCGTTATATAGATATAGGTGAACAGGTCAGTCTGCGCAAGACATCGTGTAACTATTTGCCTGGCAGTTCCGCAGCCGACATTCACCTGTCTCTTCGGTATCAGGTGGAATGTCGTGTCAAACACTTCTAAGCCTGATCTAATGTAAATTTCGAAGACTATGATGGACAGTTCAGGATCAAGAGACATAGTGTATGAAAAGCTGAAACAGGAGTGGCTTAGGGATTGATTCGCGACATACCCCTGGTCTTAAGCCTGTCCAGGCTAATCGCAATGCAGTGCAGAACGCTCTGCCCCTTAGGCTACGGTTTGAATCAAGTTCTGAGTGGTTAATCGGTGACTGAATGGTGCATGCTAAGGTGGTACCCCCCCTAACCCTTCTGTTTGACTTTAAGTTTTTCTCACATACGTGATCTGAACCTCCTGAAGTCTTAGTTTTCGAGCATTACAATTACCGACTTGTTTTGGGATGAATGAAACCTGCTGTCTTTTTCAAACGACGGCGCAATACGCTCTGTTATCCGTGACTGGCGACATTGTGGTAGGAAAAACAAACAGGTAACGCCAAAACGGTGGCATCTTCGGCCTCCCACCAGCTCCTTTCAATATACAGGTATGCATGTCTACAATATCAGTTCCAGCATCAAATTAAAGAATTTTAGTGCCAAAAATACGCAATATTGACGAACAATTACTTGTGCCGGACACAACATGAAGCAAAAAATACTTTATCATTGTGTGCAATGGGCTATGGCGTGATCACTGAGTAGCAGGCAATGAGGATAGGAAAGTGAAACCAACCAAGTCCAAAACGCTCGGTTGCCAAACAACGAATGTACACTCAAACTGTGGGTGAAGTCTGTGGAAATTGTTCTTTGCAGCAAAATATGCGTACACAATTCAGTTATAAACCCTCAATTTTAACAGCTAATGCAGATTTTGGTCAGAAGGGAATACACTGGTGGCACCAGTCAAAACGAGAACTTCAATATGGTTATATAAACTAAGTGAAGTCAACCAAAACAAACGGTCGGTGTTTTGGAACATATTACGGGGATAAAAACGGAAGCAACACTATGTCAAATAAACCAGTCTGATGTGAAATAACATGCTGCCACAGTGCTCATGTTTTACGCCTACATTATTAGCAGCATTCTAACCCAAACCGCGGCAGCATCTGAGAGTGGGAAAAACAGGCATACTTTGACTGATGTAGTTTTAAAAAAGATTCCACGTGTACACGACTTCCTAGCCCATAATCATGCCTAATAAATACATCTGGAAACAACTTGGGGTACCCGGCCTTGAAGCGGGAATATTTAAGGAATATTGAAAAAAGTTGATACTGTCATCTACGAAGAATATTGCGAACTCAAGTGGCAGCGCCGTCAGTTATGCACGAGTGAGCAGCTGAGAAAGCTTCTTAAGTTTTGAAATCTTAACAGAATCAGTTCAACTTGGATTCAAACGATGCAAAGCTTCCTGATCAAATGGGTCTGTTTCGTGCACCCCCTCAAAAATCTTTTATTAGGAGATATCCCTACGCCGTATAATTAAGTGTCAAAACCACAGCTTTGAGATGGAAGCAGCCCACATGTACAAGTTTATAAGTATGGACACATAATTCGGGAGCCATCGAACAAACGATTGAGCTGTCGTCACTCGGTTATTATCATGAAACAATTAGTGTAATAAAACAACAGGACGGTCAAGATGAATAGTTGTAGGTTCACGACCATGTGATTATCCTTCTGTCGTCAGCTGTCAGCGTAACCTTTTTTCTAGAATCACTAAGACTACAAGCCAAAATCAACAACCTGAGAGGGGAATCAGCTTACTTAGTTCAGGGACTACGTATGGGTAAACATGAAGCAGGTTAAGCCTGTCGCTCCATTCTACTTTGAGCACGTTCGAAACCTCGTGATTTGAAGACAGTAAACCTGCTCTTATTGAAAAGGCTGTGAAGGCATGTATGCGTCGAAGGTTTCCACCATCAAAGCACTACTTAAAGAGAAATTCCTGCCGTTGTTGGCTCTCCAGCAAAAAGAAACTGTTCTTAGTAAATTTCGCTGGGCTTAAACTCCTATCAATAGGCAGAGAAATGAAACACATAGGTTACCCCTCTGAATACTGGGGGAGATAAAAGGGGAAAAGGTCACTCTGGAAATGAATCAGCTTTGTGATGGCATTAGATAGCCAGATGACCGATCGGCTGGACCATATCATTATTTTAAAAGCTGAAATATATAGCCTCTTGGATGTACTTCTTTTGTTCATTGTCTTCAGTCCCCGATCCAGGTATACTTTTCCAGCACGCCCATTGTGTTTTCTCCATTTAATTTGTTGTGTCGATAATCGGCTAGAAAGTTGTTCAACTTCAGCTGCTGACAGTAGACATACTTGCATCAATAGTGACTGGCAATTTCAAATGATAACACAAAGTACAAAAGCAGTTAATGATCTAACGTGGGTATGATCCATCAACTCCGTCTTTTCGTTATATCGACATTTCGGGGAATAAATAATTCCATGATAGAGGGTTGTGGCCCTGGAAATCAATCTTGGCTACATAGTTAGATGTATAATGTCTATTTGAGTGAGCCAGGTTCCTTGATCAACCAGTGCCAAAAGACTGCGATATCTGGTGTGAGGATCCGCGTGATTTTGGAGCTAAACATACAGAAATGCGTGTCGGCAAGTTAAAAAGCCTAGACCAACACTCCATGTTGGATTTATTTATTTGATTTACAACACACGGTGGTAAGGTACTATTTACTTCACGCTCCAGCATAACTTATTCCTCATAATCATATCAAGTCTTAGACCATTATTTTGGAGGACTAGTCTGTTTCATGATCAATACATAGATTAATGCACTTGTCAAGGAATTACTATGCGCCGGTTATTATTGAAGTTTATTGATTTCCTCACAGCGTGTGCAGTAGTAAGACAGATAATCTTGTGATTCACTAGCATTTTTACTTGCTGGTTTGGTGACGTAGACTGTTCATGAACCTTCCTGCTTGTGCAGATCCGTCAATTCCAGTAGTAAATGTCACACCGCGATCGGCGAAAAGACCAGGGTCGTAAATCTCGTGGTTGTCGCAGGTTATGTGCTTACTCTATATTGCCTTGGAAGGTAACAAGTGATCCAGTCCACTCATACAATGGAATATAACCAAGAGATGAATACGACGGTCGTCATGGGAACCCAAGTAGGATTGGCCTGCTAAGGGCGAAGACCATGATGCGTGCGCACTTATTCTGTCTGAAGTCTGTGGTCACCAGAAGGTCATACTGAATGGGGTAACCATCACTTCATCTATCAACAGCTACAAGAAAAACCTGGCTGCAACGCCGTCATGTATGGCCTACACTAGCGTAGTTGGGACTCCATCAGGATAACCAACTAAGGTCTCCTCAGTTCAAAGCTGTTGCTTCCATGCTGCATAATTTCCGCTGCCATCATTATCGTAGACTCAACCATGTTTGAACTCCCCCAAAAGGAAGTTCTACCTCTTCACTCTCTACGTCGCTACTAGTATCAATACCATCCCTACTTATATTGCCTCTAATATAAGCTTTCCACTCCCCTCCTTCCCTCCCAAACTCCACGGCTTAATACCATTCATTTAAGTTCTTCACTTTTTTGTTTTCTTTCCTATACCTAGATTCCCCCCTCACACTTTTGTTTTCATCACTTCGTTTCCCTGTCATTATTTCACTCTTAGTGTCCCGCACCGGAGGAACTCATTTAAACCAGCATCCTAGAATAGATTATGCACCTTCCTACAAATCTAACGAACACAACACCACATGGGTTTTTCAGAGCTACAGAAGGTGATTGGCTGGATCTAGTCCACTGGAATCGGACAGTGGATTGAAGTCACTCTGCAAGGCCTGGTAGTAGGAAAGAAGAAATCACTTAGTTTATACGAACCTGGAAGACAGATATTGGTTCATAGAAGCCTCGTGGTAACCCAAGAAGAACTGTTCACCAAAGTCGAGAACCCGTGTTTTTTCACACTTCTCTCTTAGTTTATGGCCACTAGGACGCGTTGCCTGCCGAGATTGCTACTGTTTCGTCTGTTGACAGCTACAAGAAGACGACAGACAGTTACTCAGCGAGGCACAGTTTGCTCTCACCCAGCTGGGATATGGACTGGGTTGATACAACCTGCTAACTCCGCACAACTCAGGATGGCTAACCTATCACAGAATCACCTGTAATGCCATTATCATAGCGAACCTGGTTTAAACTTATACCTCCCTGCAGATAACTTCAGGTACCATCTCCTACAAACGGTATTATTTTCTTTATCCCCATAAACCGTCCTACAGTGTTATTCGCACCCTACCTCCCTACTGTTTTTATGTTCTCCCGCTTTTTAATAAAAGCTCTCTCCACCACACCTCTCCCACAAATCCACCGATGTTTCTTCTTCCGTAATGTTTCCTTTAAACTCACCGTTTTTACCTACTGTTTACTTTTCCTCATACTTTCTCACTCTTGATTGTTTTGCACATATTATTCATCTCCTTTTTACAACCAGTCCAACCAATTGTCTGCTGGCACGAAATTTGAGGAACCCATCTGCACCACAGTCCTCGGGAGAAAAAGCAAACAAACAAACAACACTCCCTACAAATCTAAACAACACCCAACCACCCGTCAGGCTAACCAGAGCCACAGCAGTCGAGTGGGTAGACATACTGCATTGGAATCCACCAAAGACCTGGAACCGTTCCGCAAGACCTAGAAGCGAGCACGAAGAAATCAATTGGTTTGCACTAGCTCGTTGAAAGATATTGGATATTGGGGCAGCACATACTTGATTTAAGCGCTACTGGGTTTGTAAACAGCTCGGTAACTTGCACCCCTAATTTCTAGTATCATTTTGCACGATTGTTTGCTTTCTTGTTGGTCGATATTGTCCGTTATTTTTTCCATTTTTTGAAATAAATCTAGGTCCATTCTTTATTTTTACTGAGTTGTTAGCCCATGTTTTTTCTCCTATGGGTTAACCCATGGGTTTGAAGCGAGAAAATTTTCTTGTTGACTGAGTGAACCACAATTACGGTACTTAAACACGCTCTTTTATCCCTCCCTCCCGAAACTAAGCCCATTTAGGTTGTTGAAAATCCCCCAGTTACTGGTCGTTCAGCATATAGTGCTTTAAGATACTTAAGTTTTCAGTTATAAGGATAGTAGGCGAGTTGGCCTGTGTTAACCTTTGCAGAAGATATCTCTGTGAAGATCTAGTTTCTCCTTGAACGCGTTGACAGAAGGTGCTGATACTACTTGCTGAGGTAAGGAGTTGTAGTGGTTGACAACACGATGGGAGAAACGCAGATTCACGCTAAGTTGATTCGATCGCGGTTTCAGAATTTTCTTGTGATGCCCTCAGAGATAGTCCTAGCAAGGGAGAAAAGATAGGACATATCAGTACCGAAGTCATTATTAAGAACACGAAATACCAGTATGAGATCACCCCGTCTTCTACGGTCAGACAGTGGGAATAAGTTTAGCTGATCTAATCGTTCCTTATAGGACAGATTCGAAAGGCCTACCACAAGCTTAGTACCTACCTCGAGTGCGTCAGCACCCTTTTTCAGGCATGGGCTGGCCGCCTGAATGAAGTATTCCAAGTGAGGTCTAACGTAAGTAGAGTAGGGCATTCTAAACATGTCCTCGTCAAAACATTTGAAAGCTCTGTGGAGGGACCATAATATACGAAAGCCCTTTGCTGCAGCTGCATTACAGCTTGCCGATGTTTTCAAATCATGACTAATGATGACACCCAAGTCTTTTAGTTCAAGGACTGGAAGTAGTGGTGTACCATCAACGGAATACTGGAAACAATTGCTATGACCAATGTGCATTATTGCACTTTTGTTAGAATTGACTTCCAGGCACCAACGTTTGGAGCAACTTACTAGTTCATCTTAATCATGCTGAAGTGCATACCTATCTGCCTCACTGCGTATGGCTCTCCAAATCTTTACATCATCGGCAAATAACGGTACCGAAGAGTTGAGCATATTCGGCAGTTCGTTGATATATAACAAGAAAAGTAGTGGACCTAGAATTGTCCCTTGAGGAACTCCACTCGTCACAAGTTTCCACCTGGATAGTGTCCCATTTACCCTTACTCTTTGCCTTCTATCGTATAAAAAGTCCTTAATCCAAGCTTGCAGTGAAGTACCAAACCCTAAGGAGGAGAGCTTTCCCAGTAATTTCACATGCGACACTTTGTCGAATGCCTTACTGAATTCTGTAAACACGGCATCTATTGGCAGCTTGCAACCACGGGCTGCAACCCATTTCTCTCTTGCGATAAGGAGGTTAGTTAGATAGGAGTGCCCGGTACGAAAACCATGTTGCTGTGGTGCCAAAAGATTGCTTGATTTCACATGTTTAAGTACCCTGTCACGAATTATTTTTTTCTAAAATCTTAACAACTATGCTAGTTAGACTCAAAGGACGATAGTTAGACACCAAATGGCGACTACCGGTCTTAAAGACTGGGCTGATTATGGCATCTTTCCAGTCTCTAGGGAGGCGAGTCTGAGTTAGGGACATATTGAAAAGATCCGTGACTGGCTCAGCAATGATGTCTGCTAGCGTGGATAGAAGTCTGGGATGCAACTCATCGGGACCTGGGCATTTTCCAGGTTTGAGGTTAATGAGCAACTGTAAGACTCTTTCCTTTGTTATGAACACCATATCTATTAGTGGAACAGTGCTGACACCACTATTTAGCACTTCATCGTCATGGTCTACAGAGAAGACTTCACTAAAATAATCAAAGAGACATTCAGGTTTGGACAGATTAGATTCCGCCAGGCTATCGGACTTCTCATCCGTCGCCAGAGAGGGAATTCCACATTTTCTTTTAGTCCTCCTTCTGACGAATACGAACAGTCTTTTAGGACTATCTGGCGCGCTCTTTGAACACTGACGTGTTTTGTCTCGTCTGTATCCTACTCAGAAATAACTATATATAAGCCTTCCCAATTGGATATTTCCTCTACGAAAGTTACAATTTTACTGGAGAAACGTTTTGCTACAGGACGTACAGCTCTCAGTCGGTCAATACTATCACTCTCCAAACGGACAACTGTGTGGTAGGTCTAACTGCTTCGATCAACTGCTATAGCTCAGGTTGCTGCAACTGCAGCGCTACTTATCTCATTCGATCATATACCCTGGACCTGTGGGAAACTTTGGGCATTCTTCCGTGTCGTGCAACTTGGCAATCTTAGGTAAGGTTGACAACTTACTTTATCTATCATTGCTTTTCTACGTTTCACTTGATACAACCAACCTCGCCTGGTTAACTAGTTTACTAGTTACTAGCCGGTCCTAAGCCCGGGTAAAGAGGGAAGGTTGGGCATAGGGCTAGCAACCCTACCCCGTAAAACAAATCTAACCGCTAAAGAAACTTCAAAGCACAAACAAAATATAAAAAATGAAAACAAACTTATTCCCCGCTGGAATCGGAGAGGCGAAATGACGCCAGTTGGTGAAAGCCTTCGGGAAGCCAATTGGCCGATGTGTCTTCTCTCGATGAAAGCGAAAGTAAACGTGGGGACATGGAATGTCCGCACGATGTTTGAACCCAGTAAGGCAGCCCAGATTGCAAAGGAGATGAGAAGGTATAACATCGAAGTGCTTGGGATTTGCGAAAGCAGATGGAATGGGAGTGGACTCTCCAAACTGTCAACTGGAGAATCAATAATCTACTCCGGTCACCCAGACGCCAACCACGAGCACACTGAGGGAGTGGCTATCATGATGTCCTCAAGAGCATCGAAGGCTCTCATGCAGTGGGAACCAATCTCCTCCAGGATCATGACAGCAAGATTCAACTCAAAAGGAAGAAAGGTCACAATCATACAATGTTATGCACCTACAAATAATGCAGAGCAAGAGAAAAAGGAGGAATTCTACAGACAACTTCAATCAACACTGGACAAGACGTCAGTTGGCGATATCAAAATTCTAATGGGCGACATGAATGCCAAACTGGGAGGGGACAACACGGGAAGAGAACTAACCATGGGTCGAGAGGCGCTAGGTGAAATGAATGAGAATGGAGAATTGTTTGCAGAATTCTGCGCATTCAACGATTTGGTGATTGGAGGCAGTGTGTTCAGGCACAAAGATATCCACAAAGCGACATGGATTTCACCAGATGGACACACTAAAAATCAAATCGACTTTATCTCAATCTCAAGAAAATGGAGACGCAGTCTACTTAACACAAGGTCAAGAAGAGGAGCAGATGTAGGTTCAGACCACTATCTAGTGCAAGGAACCTTCCAAATCAAGTTAAAAGCCTTCAAGGAAGCTGGTGATAGACCTCAATTCAAGTACAACACTCGGAAACTGAAGGATGAAACTACAAAGGAGATCTTCACGGCAGCCATCAAGACAAAATGGGAGACGTCGAGGGACATCCCTGAAGAAACCTGTGTGGAAGAACACTGGAAGTCTTTGAAAGCTATGTGGAAAGAAACCTGCACAACAGTATTAGGAAGGAAGAAGAAAGAAGACAAGGAATGGATCTCGACGGATACCTGGAAGCTGATAGAGGAGAGGAGGATGGTGAAGCAGAAGATAAACCAGTGCAAGGATGCTCAACGACAAGAGGAACTGAGCACAATGTATAAAACACTGGACAAAGAAGTGAAGAAGAGTGCACGCAAAGACAAAAGACACTTCTACGAAACACTGGCAAGTGAAGCAGAACAGGCTGCAGGTAAGAGAGACCTGACGACATTGTATCAAATAACCAGGTTGCTATCAGGGAAGAGACCAACACAGATGAAACCAATAAAAGATGAAGAAGGAAATTTAATTACAAAAGAAGAGAAACAGAGGAAACGATGGGCCGACCACTTCAAGAAGCTCTTGAATCGACCACCACCTGCACTTCGTCCAGAAATACCACCTGCAGCCGCTGAATTACAAGTGAACATTAATCCCCCAACGAAAATGGAAGTCCTGAACGCCATAAAGCTACTGAAATGCGGGAAAGCAGCAGGACCAGATGGAATACCGCCAGAAGCACTGAGAACAGATGCAGAGACAACAGCGGACATGCTCACACCACTATTGCAGAAGGTGTGGAAGGAAGAGAAGGTACCTGACGATTGGAAGAAGGGTTACCTTGTCAAACTGCCGAAGAAGGGAGACCTCAGTGCTTGCAAGAACTGGCGCGGAATCACTCTCCTGTCCACCCCAAGTAAAATATTAAGCCGCATCATCCTGGAGAGGCTTAAAGACGCACTGGATTCAAAACTGCGACCGGAACAGGCAGGCTTCAGGAAGTACAAATCATGTGCAGACCAAATTGCAACGCTTCGTATCATCATAGAACAGAGCATAGAATGGCAATCAGCTCTCTACCTCAACTTCATCGACTTTGAGAAGGCCTTTGACAGCGTCGACCGAGAAGTAATTTGGAAACTGCTTCAATACTACGGAGTACCGCAAACCTTTATCCGCCTCATTCAACAACTATATGAAGATGCCACATGCCAAGTAATCCACAATGGGAAGCTCAGTGATGCCTTTGAAGTGAAGACAGGAGTGAAACAAGGTTGCCTACTATCCCCCATGATATTCCTTATTGTGGTGGACTGGATCATGCAGCAAACAGTAGGCAGCGAGAAGAGGGGGATACACTGGACGACGGAAAAGAACCTAGAAGACTTGGATTTCGCCGATGACTTATGCCTAATGTCACATAAACTTGAAGATCTGCAGGCAAAAACTAACAAGTTGATAGAAGAGGCAGCTAAGACGGGACTTCAGGTGAATATAGAGAAGACAGAAGTGATGAAGATACCGCACCACCACCATCAACAACAACAACAAACTCCAATCACCGTCAACGGGAGAAACTTGAAGGAAGTAACCTCCTTCACTTATCTAGGAAGCACTGTTTCAACTACAGGCGGGACGGACGAGGACGTCAAAGTCAGAATCGGAAAAGCAAGACAGGCGTTCATTAGCCTGAAACCAGTGTGGAGATCTTCTGCACTCAGCATGCGGAACAAGATACGGATTTTCAACACCAACGTCAAGTCAGTGCTCTTGTATGGCTCAGAGACTTGGCGCGTCACGAAAGGTATTTCCAATAAACTACAGACATTCATCAACAACTGCTTACGCTCGCTGCTGAAGATCAGATGGCCAGAAAAAATAAGCAACAAGGAACTCTGGGAACGAACCAACCAAGAACCTATCACGCAACAAATATGCAGGAAGAAGTGGAGATGGATTGGCCATGCACTGAGAAGGCCGACTGAGGACATCACGCGTCAGGCCCTCGAGTGGAATCCCCATGGGAAGCGACGAGTTGGACGTCCGAGGGTGACATGGAGGAGGTCGTGCGAGGAGGAAATGAGAGCTTGTGGGCTGTCGTGGAACCAGGTTCAAAAGATCTCAGAGAACAGAGGTCACTGGAGGCGTGCTACTGAAGCCCTATGTTCCACTAGGAACCCAAGGGACTAATAATAATAATAATAACTTGATACAACCATGTGTATCTCATATCTCCCTAATCACCACTAGAAATGAGTAATAATCGAGTCCTAACCAAATCTGGTATCAGGAACATCTCAGGCAAAGCCTCACCTCAGCTACAAACCTTCTTATCAGTGGTAGTAACGAGGGCCAGAGGCAAAAAGCTAAGTGCCACCGCAAAAGATCACGGGTCGACCTTTGGACGACAGTTGCAACAACCACCTCCTGGGAAAAGTCGAATTTCTGTCCCTGTGAACTCTTGTGCTGTGGTTCATCAACGAGCATGTCTTTCTGGTGCCACCCGCCCAAACCCTAGTCTACCTGCGAAAGCTACCACTGAGAGACAGAAGGAAAGGAAAAGAAAGTCGTAAACTAAACCTTCTAGTCAGGCTGACGACTGTCATACATGTGGTCTCGCAGTAGCCAAGAGGGATGCTGCCTTCGAGCGTAACATTTGCAATAAGTGGGTGCACAGTCAGTGTGACGAGGATATACCAGACCAATACTACACCTTCATGGCGTGCTACCTATGCACGTGGTTCTGGTACATCTGCTCACAGTGCCGTATAAGGCTACTCTTTTCTAAAGGCTTGCTAATGGAGGTCGTAAAAGATATCGCAGTGACTACTGTGATGCCGGCACCCACACAGACCACTACCCCAGGCCCAAGCAGCAAGAGTGTCAGCACTGTACCCCGGCCAGTCACACCGGTGAATAGTCCAAAAAGACCAAAACGACGACCGGGTACGCGACCACTACATTCATCCCTAACCCTGAAGCCACCTTAACGGCTAACCCCGCTGTACAACGGGAAAAATGGGTGACAGTGAAAAAGAAGGTGCACCCTTCCCACAAAAAACCACCCACGGCACACCAAAATAGAGAAGCTGATGACAGGTCGAACTCCACCATCTTCTTTAACGTCCCTGTGTGCTATGATAGCCTTCTTGAGAACAGAGAATCGTTTGACAAGCAGCAATGGGAAACCGTATGCACCACACTAGGACTGGGTAGCCTAGAAGCAAAACTGTGCAGGCTCTACAAAGGCAACTACCCACCTCAGGAAAAGCCTCCGCCGATGAGAGTTACCCTAGGCTCGGCTAAAGAAGCGGAAAGATTCTTGCTGATGTCACACACACTAGTCATCAACAGGTCATCTAGCATTAGAGCGAGACCAGACCGCCCTTGATCAGCAAGAAAAGTATCTCGCGAGGCGCCCCAAACGCTGAAATCAACGACTATGGTTGTCCACGGCATACCAGAACTGACAACCGGCACAGTCGTAGAAAAGTATGCTCACGACGTCCAGCAATGGCAGTGGTTGTCAGCAGGGATAGGGTTAAATGAGATAGCAGCGGCGGAGGTCTGCAGACTGCCACGTCCCTCGCATTTGATGACGATAACGTCACCCCGGTTGATGGCTGTTAACTTCGGCTGTCAAGAACTTTTAACCAGTGTACTGCAAACTTGGTACACAGTGAAAGATAACATCAGTGGGAATGTTCGCTGCTGTGAAAGCAGGCCCAGGACACTGTGACAACAGCAAATGGCATCACCGCCCACCGCCGAAGTTACCACCACTGTCAACAGACAAGATGTACAAGCAAGCCTAGACTCTATGACACCCCCAGAAAGAATTGTAGGAAAAAATGTGATTGGGCCGGTTCCACTTGAGCTGGCCGTCCTATAGCAGGTTTCGCCACTACGCACGACTTCCTCCAGTCTGCCAGCACCAGGATACCCCTTGTCGTTAGAAACATAGCCAAGTGTCTTTACAGTAATTTGAGGGGACAGAAGTAAAATAGGGGAATTACGGTTTCTCTGTTCCTGCCTTGCTCCAACGATCATAATCCTGACAGAAACTTGGTTATCACCGGACATTGGCGACGTCGAAACTAGTATATATGGTATACGTCTGTTCAGGAGAGGCAGGGAGTTTAAGGAAGGAGGCGGAGTGGCGATGCTTATAAGTGATAACCTTAAAAGTGGACGAGCAACTGAAACTCTACTTTCAGGGCTCCCAGACTCCATCTGGTGTCGATTTAAGGTTGGACACACCTAGTACCTAGTAGGAGGCGTCTACAGAACACCTACTAGCAGCGTGGAAGATAACCGACAACTGCTGCAAGTAATGTCCCGAGCGACGTCCATCGGATATGACCAGGTCATTATAGCCGGTGACTTTACTGCTCCAACTCTCAATCTTGGGCAGGACAAGGGAACCTCAGGCCGAAGGTTCGACCGAAATCTACTCAACACTATCCAAAAGGCTGGGCTGCACGAGAATAGTGGTGATGACACTCGCTGGGGGTCGGGCGGAAAGCCGTCCAAACTGGACTACCTTTTTACCACTGCTGGTAGGAAATGTACAGGTTCAAACCCCTCTCGGCAGCAGCGATCACGGCGTGGTAGTGTTCGATCTGGTACTCTCCGAACGACTGTCATGGGAGGGATCTCGCCCTTGTCTTTGCTACAACAAAGCGAACTACGTGGTGATGAACCGATATCTGTCGACAGCACCATGGCCTCAGGAGTGGAGCAATCTGTCGATTGGCCAACATTGGGAACTAGTCAGAGATATCATCAAGAGGGCTATCTCTGAAAACGTCCCTGTAATCACAGCAATACCGCAGAAGCGAACCTCATGGTTGAAGCGAGGCACTGAATGCCTTCGAAAGCCAAGAGGAGGATAATTTTGGCAATCCCTCACAAGCTGCTTTTCGTAGGACATTCGAGACCGTGTAATCAAAGTCTTGAAGAGATTACGAGGTTTACAGTTCTCAGTCCTAAGTGTTTCTAGTCTAGGTTTTAGAAACAAGTCCCATAAACCTTTCTTCCGACTTAACAGTCCCTTAATGTCTTCATTAAACGACAGAGAGCGATGTGAGGATCATCGTGGAGTCGAACATGAAATTAATTCCGTGGTTACCTCCTCAATAGAGTTCTAAACCTATTCCATGCATTGTCAGTTGATGAGTACTTGTCGACAGTCCAATCCTTACTGACTGAGCTATCCCTTATATTTGAAATGTCTGCGCGCCATACATTAGGTCTAGGGGAGGCAGCGTCATAATCAAACTCATTAGTTCAAAAACCAAAAGTTAGTACTACATGGTCGCTGTTAGCTAATGGAGGGAAGTATCGTAGATCCAGAATGTCTTCACATTGATGGGTTAAAACTAAATCTAATAACGATTGCTTGTGTTCAAAATCGTAATGTGTTGCACATGTTACGTTTTGAACTAAGCAGATTCTAAGACCATCAAAGGTAAGTCATTTTCGAAGGAACCACCTCGTGGTGAGACTGTTAGCTCCATCCAGTTTATGTGTGGAGCATTCAGATCCCCAACTATTAGGCATCTGTTACTTCTACTCCAGTTACGTTTATGGGTTAGCACGAAGTCATTTGCAAGGCAGGATGGACTACGGTAAATGACCCCGATAGTACAGAAACCATGCTTTGACTTCAGCTCTCAACTGGCCACTTCACAGGTCTTTCATTCATGTGCTTCAGAAGTGACTAATCGTACGTGGACATCATCCCGAACATATAGTAGTATGCCGCCACGTTTGCGACCCACAACCTATCCGTCCTTACATAGTAATATCCTGCGAGGAGTGGCGTAAAATCTAGATCCTTGATTAACCAGTTTTCAGTAAGGGATACTACGTCAGGACCTAGCTCTCAGATTAGAGTTTCAAGGTCTGTCATCTTGCTTCTAATACTGCGAACGTTAGTGTAGATAACTTTCATTGTGTTGGAAGAGTTCCATGACCCACTCACAACTCGAAAACCCACTATTTTAAGATCATTTTCTCTACTAGCTTGTCGAGTTTTTAGTTGGCAACAGCTCTTCTTTTTATGCAGTCCTCGAGGGGTCAGTCAGGTCGGATAAAAATATCCGAATTTCGTAGTTTGGATGCGTTACTCAAGAGTTCATCCACTTCGTCCTTGTTGCCTAAAACAACCTTTAAAATTCTCTTCTCATCAGGTTTTTCGCCCGTTTTCTTACCTAGCCTAACTACTTTGGAGATGTGTACCCCTTTAGACTTTTCAGGCAGAATACGTCTGGTGGCCGACTCGACCAGTTGCAGGTCATGGCCGTGACATATTGAAGCATCTTCGTCTGATGACTCCTCAACATTCCAGAAGACTAAACTGGGCGTTGGAGTGGAATCCTTGAGTCGTGTGTTCACCGCCTCTGAAGCCTTCTCAACAGGTTTCATAAGCTTAGTATCTTCCGTGATAACCTTTGGCGGTCTCTTCGGATGCTTTCTTGGAGAAATCCATGTGGATTCGTTGACCACTTTTACAGGATCAACGCTGTTACCAGAGATGCAGGCTTTCAGTGAATCCTCAGGCATTGTGGTTGGTGTACCATTTGCCCTTGGCTTTTTCTTGAGTCGAGTACGCTTCGGGACTGGTGTAATTTCACCAGCTGGATCACCAGCATCCATCAGTCCACTAAGAGGTCCTGTGTCAGATATATTAACGATTACACTTGCAGCGTCATCATCTGATACCGCATTAGAATGACAGCTATCATTTCCACATAGCTGTTTTTTGACAAGTAAATTTTCAACAGCTTCCCGGATGAGGGTTGGCCACGGCTTGCAGCAGAAATCACACAACCGGGGAGAAGCTGGTTTGCTGCAACACTTGTACACGGTTGGTGTCAATCCTGTACAAGCTTTGTGGAACCAACATCCACATGCATCACATTACATACCTTCATCCACTGGAAATTTACAGCTGGGACGACCGCAAACATGATTATCGCTGACCATGTTATTCACTCGTGTCGTGTACTAACTAAAGTACTCGGTCGAAATTCTGACAAGGGGATTTAAGTTGTGACAACACAAAAACCAACCTTAAGCCTCAAAAAATGATTAAACTCCAAACACTGACTTAATTACTTCAAGTCAAGGTTTTTATGAAAGCTCTTGATGTGGATTACACAACAAAAGCGTTGAAAAATTCACTTCCTGTTTTCAAAGAGCGCGCGTGTAGCATTCAAGCCCGTAAAAATATGCTCAGCTGATGGAGTAGTTTAGTCCTTTAAGGTTACGATGTAAAGCTTGTATATGGTAGTTTCCATATTTGTCAGAGAGGAAGTTCCGAGGTTTATATCTTATTATCTATTAGTTTGAAAATTTAAGGTCTCGGTAATATGATTTCACTTCGGTTTTTGACATGATGCTTACATTCCTCAGCATATAGCTGTCTAAAGGTTACTATCTCACCTGCGACAAATAAAAAGCACAACGGGAAGGTATTTCACAAAAAATCCCCATGTTGAACTGGTTTATTGTCAAAAAATGAAAAAAATAATTGCACTGGATTCTGCATTTCGTAAAAGAATTTTATATATATGATCGTTGTACCATATTCCAGTTCTGGAACCTGTCTATTTTTCTAGAGTGTATTTTTGTCGAGCTTGTTAGTCTTTAGGATCTTAGGCATGATGTTAATCAAACTGATTCCCCAATGCTGTCACAAGAAGACTTCTCTCCTTTTTATGAAGTGGAATGATCAGCTATGTAGACCAGTCTGATGAGAATATGTGTTTTCCATACAATACCTACTATCCTTGTTACTGTATTCAGTAGTTTTCCACCTCCACCTTCAAAAACGTCCGGTTGCAAATCGTCGGGTCCTGCTGGTTTGCAGCTTTTCGGGTTAGAAAGACCCTCCTCAACTTTAGTGAAGCATGGTTGTTGACTAGTTAAAATGTGCTTCGAAATGTCCCACTTAACGCCCTAATAGGTTGTTTTACGAGTTTATCAAGGACCTGTCCTCATCTGTGATGGTCTCAATAACCATCGTCTTCCAGTCTATTTGGAAAGTTTTGTCCAGTATTTGTTTCATGCAATATTTTACAATCGTTTCAAATTATTGCTTCTTTCTTATTGCCAGCCATAGTCTTAAGGATCCTATCTTTTAATAATATTCGAAGCTGATATGTTTATTCCAAGAGTGATGAGAGTTGTTGACGTACCCTTTCTTGGTAAGTTTTGTCCAGTTCAAAAAATGGTTTTGCCACTTCCTAGTACCGTGTAGATTTAGTCGACGTAGACTTCCACCGGAATATACGAAGCAGTATCTGGAGAAGATAAGCAGTGAATCACTGGATAAGTACAGGAAATCAAACTTCGTTCCTTATCCGGCGCTGAATAAAGCGAAATTGTGGGAAGTTAAACCAAAAGAGCCAAAAGAGGAGACAAGGTATTTCTTATTTCAATGTCACATTGTTCAGTATCTATATGTCAAATGCTTTAGTTTGTTCATGAACTGATAACTTTGACCATAATGTGGCTGTACAGTTTGTTTGTGTGCGTGTGTATGAGCTCGGCCCCAACGATCTGTGAGAAATGTCAACGTGAGTTGTGCAATTCGCAAATCATTTTAAAATTGGTGGTCCCATAATTATGTATGCTCAGAGATTCTGTCAGTCGTAAACCCAACATATCTGATCCTATTTCCGGGGTTTGTGAAAAGAACAACGCACATACCCACTTGGCTCCAAATTATGAGTGGCAGCATCGGTAGACCAGTTCTGAGGCGACAGTAGATAAGTTACTCACCTCAACATTCTCAAAGTTTTTCGTCAGCAATTTACATTAATATAAGTGTAAACCTTGGACACTGATATAGAATGTAAATCCATATTAGATTTATGGATTTGTTTTATAACACGCAGTGACACAGTATTTTTTACTTGACGTTTTGAGCACAAATCTTTTTCTCATAATCATATCAATGTAGTCGCACCACTTTCAACAACCGATTTTTATAATCCCGTCACCTCATATTTTTTGTTTTTATTGGTTGTAAAAATTTTCATTTCTCTGGTATAGGTATTGAATCATTCCTTCTACGTATGTTAGGTGTTGATCCGATAGACAAAGATTCAGCAACTAATCTCTCTTTCTCTACCTACCTACGTACCCACCACCCTACCTACCTACCTGCCTATCTGTCTGCCTGCCTACCTACCTACCTATAGTGGTTTTGTCCCACCTTCATGTGTGGTTGCGTTAATGCATGCATCACAATAGCCAGTGTTTTTTTAGTTCATTGATCTTATTGGGGTCTGTCATTCTATATTTAGCTAAATTCCAATGTTCTGCTAATCTAACTGACCCCGACCGGCTAGTTTGACCAACGTAATTGGCCTCACAGTTACTGCGTGGAATTTCATAGGTTAGATCATTATACCTAATTGGATCTGTCGAATCCTTAAGCCGACAAAGCTAATCTCTGAGTGAGTCTGTAGGTTTAAATGCCACCCTAATTTTAGCCATGTTGAGAATCCTACGTAAGTTTCTGATGTTCCTTCCCCATAGAGTAACACAGTGGAGGCTTTGAACTCCTTTCTACTCTTGTTGTTGCTATTATTTGTACTCGTATTACTTGTATTTCGTTTTTTATGTGTCGTACGAATTTCTGAATAAATAGTAGAGGATAATCATTAATTATTAGCGCTCCTTTTATGTGCTTGAATTCCTTGTCTAAATCCTTGCACTGACTTGTGAGTTTTCCAGCCTCATCATTTAGACATTTGACTAAACCCACCTTAACAGATAGATGAGGTGACCTGAAGTCTAGATACTTGTTGGGATGTATCGGTTTCCTGTAGGCAGTAATATCCAAACCACCGTCTGTCCGTTTTATCCTGCAACCCAACATAGGTAATTCTGTTTTTCATTCTCTACCTCGTAAGTGGATCGGATTGCACCTATTACTGGGTTTATGTGTGAGAAAACTGTCAATATGTTTCGATTCGAATACAGTAAGGGTGTCATCCAGATATCACCACCATACCTTAAGTGCAGGATTAAACGTTTGCAAGGCTATGTTTCCCCAACTATCCACAAATATATCTGCTACAACTGGGGGATATCGTCGATCCCATTGCTACTCCTTCTGTTTGTCTATGTATTTCGTCCTGAAACTTGAAGACTGGAGGTCATGCACCACTGTACACCTAATATGATCTCATCAACCTATGTCTTAGTCCTGTAAGTTCTGAGTCAATATTTAGTTGATTTCTGACTGCCGCCAATGACATTGATTGGCAATTTAGTATAAAGACTTATTACATCGAAACTATCAATTTTTTCATGCTCTTCTGTATGTAGGCCATAAAGCCGTAGTTTTAACTCATAAGAATTGACTAGTCTAGAATTCGAATGGTTTCTAGCGGGACATAATATCGATGCTAAGTACTTTGATAGTTCATATGTTGGGGTATTTCTGAAATCGACTATGGGTCTCAAGGAATAACCTGGTTTATGAACTCTGATAGCCTTGATGAAAGCAACTTATCTAGGTAAATAAAAAAAGTGTGACACTCAGTTTTCCCATAATAAAGATGAATAGAAATAGATTAGATATATTCGACGAATACTGCCCAACGTAGCCAGCGTATACGACATATCGTAATATTCACTAGAGTGGAGCCTTCCAATACAGAGGTATGGACAGCATATTTTCTAGACACCCTTCTTAATCAAGGCGATCAAACCCTACCTTCAAATCAGATACCAGCAGGTTTGACTATGTTTTATAAGCTGCTGTTAGTTGAAGGTATGGTCAAAAACGCTTATGGCCAAATCTTAAACATGCCTGACTATCTCATTTCTTCTGTTTCCAAGCTGTACTTAGGTATCGAACGTGTACAGAACTGAGCACCATAGAAACTTTTTGTTTTACAATACTATTTGCGTCTGTCCATCATACCTATTCAAGGTAAACAACTTTGTTTTTCTGCTAAATTATTAATAGTTAGTGTTAGAATGTTGATGCAGAACTTTGTGTATTTCCTGTTGTCAAAATGTTTAGACGTCTGTATCAAGAGCTCGTGCCACATAATATTGACCCAAGATATCGTGATCGTTTACGTGAACGTCTTGAACGACGCGAAATGATGTTACGTCGGCAAATTTTAGATATACCAGAATTTTATGTAGGTAAGTTAGTTTATTTTTGTGGGACATATTAAATTCACTAGCAATATCACATATGGTGGAAAGTCATCTCAGAGTCAAATAAAAGACAATTAAGGAATGAAATTCGAAGTGTTCTAGACACTCAAACTTAATGAAATGAATTCATCTTAAGTTTTATTGACCTCCGACTGATCAGATGCAAGGAAAATCGTTGAAAGAAATTCTTGATTATTTGCTCTAGTCCCTCGCATTCGTTATCCATCGTCTTTATTGGATTAATATGCCAGGCATTTGTACTGACCATTGCTGTCAGCAGAATAAATATGTCTCTTATCGATTGATCCATTTGTACAATTGTATTATTCACATCATGTTTAATTAATTTCAATGAAACATACTCTGGTTAATCCCATCATGCATTTACCAAATGAATGACTTAAAAGTCTAATTGTTTCTCCGTATATGGCATCAGCATTGTTACTTACCTTCCATTCTATTTGATAGGCCACTTCAGACTGACACCATCATTGACATCTGTCGATAAAATCAGCCAAGGTTGGTTGCTGATAAATATTTAAACTACTCAGACACTTTCGTAATTCGTGTCAATTGATTATTCGTATCCTTACGATAAAGCAGCTTATGGTTCAGAACGAAATCTCTGTTTTGTAGTGCGACATAACTGTGATGTAGCAATAAATGGTGGGAATTTCAACCGTAGAAAGAATAGTTGTATAAGTCAAATCAATGCTGACGGTGAACACTAGTTGGTCAATTTTGTATGCATTTCATTCCGATCATCAGTTTAGTGCTAAAATAAAAATCGACGAGAATACTTAATAGTCTGTCACTTTCTTGATAGTTATCTGCACGCATACCATAGCATACATTATTTAACGGTAGTAAGTACTTGTCTACTGATTTAATTAATTCCACTAATATGATTGGTATATAGGGGACTAATTTACTTGTTACTTCTGCGTAGTCTATTGATCTATTGATGTGTTCTAGATCTGGATAGACAGCCTTTTTCACTTGGTTATCATCATTATCTTGGTCTCTGACATATGTTGTTAGGTTGCTTTGTTGCCTTCATCCCCCTCCACATACTGGCGACAGTGACATCTAGTTCAAGTAACTATAGCACAACTCAGACACACCGTTTTCAACAGATTATTGATTTACGCAGATATTTAAATTTTTATAACCGTGAAGTAAATTTATTAGTGAACAGGTATATGGGTATTAAGATATTCTAATCACCTCTTCACCTAAAAGATACCAGTGATAGAGTTGAAGGTAAAATTCTATGATGTTCACTTCGCCAACTAACCTGCTTCTTTTCCTGCAGTGACATTTCACTTGCAGAATCGACGAGGTTATAAGACGGGAACAATATGTTTTCATCGTGATTTGTAAACACATTGTGTATAAGGTCGGGAGGATTTAAGAAGCTATATATATATATATATATCTATATATATAATTCTCATAATTTTCGTACATATAATTTTCAGATAAACTTTGTTTTATGTGAGCTGAAATTGTAACCTTTCCTCTTTCCAAAATTTCCTCCTATAACTGTTCCATAGGAATATTTATACCGGCTTAATCCTTTACTCACTGCCCAACACAGATTTTCGTTCTTGTTAGCCATTTCCCACTAACTGGGATCCGTAGTTTCTTGAACTGTGGATAGGGCCTATTGAGTCAATCTCCGCTGGTTGTCATAAACTTTCCATAACTCTTACGTCTACCTTATTGCCTAGACCATCAATCATGCTTTCTTGGCTACATAAACTAAAAACATGCAGCAGGAACAGTTTCACGAATTTGAGACCACGCTTTAGCCTGAAAGTCATATATCGATACTCGATTCCAAACTCCGGAGTGTACAACCTTGGTAGCGTCTATGAGGTATTCACACTAACATGGTGTGTTGCCATATTAGGCTATAAACCATCGGTTTTCACTCTCGAACTTGAAACATTCCATAGTGGGTTCAAACTGTCACCCAGCTACTAAAGTTTAAACATGGGAACGTCACAAGACAGCGTAGAAATCAATGTTCAATACCAGAATTTCGCTTTAACAGTTTTATTCACTTCACTTTCGGGGTGAAACTACAAATTTCAAGATCGAACAGGATTCCGTTGTTGGGGTAATCGCCAATGAAAAATATGCTAATTCTACATTTTTATGCAATGCTTGGTGTGTGGACGTTGTTGTCGCCTTTGTACTTAGCGTTCCTAGGGTTTCTAGCCACATTTGCCAGTATGAGAAACTTGTATGACAATTACCCATTGTCTGAAAACATAACTGTGCAACAAAATTAAATCTCATTCTTGGTGCCAATGATATCTTTCTAAATGTTTTTTTTACTGCCATCATATAGGTTCAGTAGTCGCCGTAAAGACTGCTGATAAATTTGCTCCCAATCAAACGCATCGTTTCTTGGGTATTTGTACAGAACGGTATAACGAAGGTTTATGGACACGATTCACTCTCCGCAATGTTGTTGACAAGACAGGTTTGTGTATTTGAAAATTATTCTTATGTATTCATTTCACAAGTAATTGTTTCGTAAAAGGTCGGTTTGGAAACAGTCAAATGTTATATCAAACGATAAAAATATCTCGACAAAACATGAGAAGACGTCGTTTATCTGAAATATGTGATGTTTTAGCTCAATATATTTTGAACAATTGGGTCATACACCCACTTTTCATGCACAATTTTATGTAGAACAAACTAAGGTAATCGGTTTAAAAATAGTCGATATTACACAGAGTTGTGTTACTTTAAATTAGTCACCCTTGTACTGAAGCTGAGTTATCGAGGTAGGTTTGATGCAACACCTAATTGTTTTCGAATATGTAAAAGTGGTTTAAGTTTTCTTATAACTAGAGCTTCAATAAACTGAAGTACACGTCTCCGAAAGGTTCTGTAACTAGGTTTGAAACCTAACTCATGGCCGTTTCCAGTGATATGTTTAGCGATAGACAAAGTTGAACATCTGTTGCCTGACTAAATGGGATCATTGAATTTGGTTTGTTATCGCAGCCATTTTGGAATGTGCTCTATGGCTCTTACTTCCATAGATCCACAGGTCCTTATATATTTGTGACCACACGTCCATATAAACTGGTAAAGGCAGTTGTATGTGACCCCATCGTTCAAATACTGTAGTGGTTTACATGAAAGCGTAAGTTTTGTTCTCATCACGATGTTTATCTTTGCTGCATACTACATTCTCCAGGTGACTACCTTGTGTCTGTTTGCTTGTCACGTAGTGAATCATCTATATATAGCGGCGTGATACATCTAAACGTATAACTGAAACGGAGCACTAGTTTAATTTGTATACCTCTTAAAAACTTGTTTACAAAACCTTTTGAGGACATATACTTCGGTTAGTTGAGGCTCTACGGATATGAAAACTTTGACCCTTTTTATTTATTGAAAAACAATTTTTTGTTGTACTAAGCCTACCTTGGTAACGGTGGAGCTGCTGTTAAACTGGTTTACAGGGTTGACTTACAACTAGTGGCTTGCAGGTTCAAACCTCACTCTGCCTAATGACGTTCGGGCAGCCAGGCAGTATCGTTGGCCCTCACACCTTAGATGTGGCTCATTCCCTATTTCACGAGTATTTCGGTTTGATTCGACCTTAGTAACTCTGCAGGTTATTCGAAATATAATGCGCTAATACATCGCAAATTTCAGATAAACTACGTGGTCTTATTGTTTTTATAAAGGGGACCAGCTGTTTCAAGTTTATATAGATAAGAATATTTATTAGTCTTTTTACTGTCATTTTATGCATTTTATTGACCAGTTTTCATGTTTTATCGAGATTTTGTTTTAATTTATGATCTGTACAACCTTTGTGCATACTGTTTGCCGATGCTACACAACTGATTTTTAACTATTAATGCTGCTGATTTTGCCTAGATTTTAGTGGAAACTTATGATGAAGTTTTTTCATGTGATCACCTGAAACTAACAGTCATGTAATATTTCATACACTTAGTTCTGTTAATGAACTTAAATAGAAACATCCGACCAATTGTTACTACCTTGTTGTGGTGGTAGAGCTGCCATATCACAATGACTCGACGAGCTACACTGCCTGAAACGCTTGTTCCCTTAGGGTCCTATCAAACCTGAAAGATATAGTAAAGGCAGTTCCTGTATATTGCCACGCTATGCTGGTGTCCGGGGGCGAAGTTGTATAGCTGTCTGGACAGGCTGTGACAGTAGTAAGGTGTGCCCCATGAATGACTAGCAATACCATGCTGATTCTGCCTTCCCTGTGGGAAGTGATGGTTGGAAAAGCTCAGTCCTAAAAACAGTGCACTCCTTGCCTTGTGGTTTTCCGATGCCGGCAGTTTGAGTTTCTCTTATCTGGGGTTAGAGCAACCAAATCTCAAACCAGTAATCCTAAAAAGACCGTGGGTGACAGGCCTCAAGCAGATGTCTCGTAGGCTGTGTGGCCACACAAATATTTTCCTCTTTTAGGTACCCTGTAGAAACTACTTCTGCGGTGTGGCCAGCCGGGAAGTGTCAATCGCCCACACGCTTACAGCAGTATGCAAGGTCCTATAATGTATGACTTACTCCCACCTTTATCTTCTCCTTTGCATTCTCTTCATGATATCAACATTAAGCCTCTTATACCTTCCTCAACCTCTCACTCTGCTACCATTGCCAACTATCCAGGCCATTGGAACCTCATTCCTATTCTCTCAAAACTCCACCACCCATTTCGTATTGGGGATTTCAACGTCCAAAGTCTTTGCCCAACTTGACAGCAGGCACTGCTCGCCAAAACCCTCCCGAGCCATGAGTGTATACTGTGTCTTTAAAATCCGTATACAGCGTGGTTATTAACTTGACCCCACCTGGCCATAGCAGTGAGTCTTTGAAGTTTACGTAACGAATATCTTAAGATTCAGTGGTGTCAATTTTGCTACAGAAAGCTAAACGTTTGGACATCATCATACTAGCAGGTGACCTAAACGCTCATGTAGGAAAGCTGAACATACCAGAAAGACAAACTAGAGATACTTATGAAATTCCATACCAACGAACCGATAAACTGTGACCGTCTGTTGCCACTTTGTTGTGATAACCACTTGTTTTTAGTCTGCTCTAACTTCAAGTATTAGGAGAGATATTGTGCGACAAAATCAAGCCAACTACAGACGCATATAAATCATATTGCCCAAGTTGTCGTTGAAGAGGATCGGGGGAGGATTGCCGATCTTTTTGAACTGTCTATTTGAATTTCCATCACGCGTTAATAATGCGACCCCGTGTATGTCTGTGCCTTAATGGTCGCGGAAAACAGGCTGCAATGAAGACTGCGTGCCCGATCGGGAGATGAGAAAATTAAGTACGTCTTTAGTGATGGCATAGGTATGTCTGTGTCTGGAAGTGACAGCAGTTTTCATCGTGATAAAGTCTGGTGTATAAACAGTGGTAAAGACGTTGATAACCTGCAACCATAGATAAGCGGACGCGAATGAATTTTCGCAACGTGATCCGCACAAATTGAATCGAGAAGACTGATTTACGCTGGCTCTGGCCATAATGAGGAGTGAAAGCAGCTCAAGTATAAATTGGCCGACAGTTTTTACAATGTTTGCGAGCAGTGATGAGTGACGAAGACGACAGAGATGGAGAACGCATCACAAATAAGTAATACGCTGCAATCATTTGGGCCTGTTAAGGATATCAGCAAGAAGAAAACAACGGATAGTCAAATGGTTACTGAAAAGGATGCGAGGCTGTTAACTTCTCAGGACAGACAGCACTTTGAAGCCGAGTTCAACTGATCGACAGCCACGCCTCACTTGTCCAGCATCGAGTTCGAACGTGAATGGAACATGAATGTCGGTCCTCCAACTGTCACCGAAGTCGAGAAGGCTGTTTCTAGCCTGAAACGAAGCAAAGCAGTAGGACCCGATGGCTCGCTATTAGAATTTTCGAGGAAGGATGGCAGTAAAATTCTGGGGAGAACAACGAAAGTACTGGGCAGCCTATGGGAATCAAAAAGATCTCCAGTTGTTGTGGTCTACTTCTTGGATCATTCCAGTCTGTAGGAAGAAAGAAAAGTCTTCCTGTTACGAAGCTTGAGTAATATCGTGTCCACAACCCTGGGGTACATAGTTATCCGACACCTAGCATTAAACTCGACAAAACTAAGCTGAGTTCAAACCTGGATGAGGGTGAATCCATCAGATTTTCGCGCTTCGAAAGGATCTGGAACATAGACGAACTTACCAGCGGACAACAGTTGCTATATTTCTTGAGGTTAGGTTAGCATTCGACTCTATAGACCCTGGGATGTGGCAGTATCTAACTGTGAAAGGAATACAGAGTAGGTGTGAAATGCTAATCAAAACTCTCTACCCGAACTCTCACAGCCGTGCAGGGGTTCTGGGGATTTGTCATCATAAATGGTGACAACTAGTGGTGTCCGTCAGGGATCCCCGCTATTGCTGTTTCTGCTTAATTTCGTTATAGATGTACTAATAGACAGCGTTATGTACGTTTGATTTCACGGGACTGATCACTTTTAGGGTCATCTGGTTGACTTGGAGTACTCAAACGATATTGTCCTGCCATGTGGGGACTGACAAAATGCATGGTCTTCTGAACGCGTTTAGCGGCAATCAATGTATTTGGCATGCGATTCACACCTGTTGAATGTAAGATGATGCACCAGGTCTGGTTTGCAACTACTGCGAGTTTGAGGGTAGGGAGTGAAGTGATAGAATATGTCAACCACTTCATTTCCTTGGAGAGTTGCATCAGTTCGAACGGATTGGTTGCTGACAAAATTTCAGCTCTAATATAGAAGGTCTGTTTGGGATTTTCCAACTTGCGTCATCTTTGGTGCCGACTCGTGAGATATTCTATTGTCTATTAAGTAATAGGTATACTACGCTGCAGTCCGTTCTATCCTAGTGTACAGCTGTGAAACATGGTCGTTAAAAGTAGAGGACATGAAGTAGTTTTGGCTTGGACGTGCGTTGCGCATGTCGTGTCACCGCCTACCTTAAAGTCCCATGCTATGGAAAGCTGGATTAGGTTGTAAAAGGAGGGTTTTAGGTGGCTTCGCCAAGACGTGACATCAGTCGATGAATCCCTGACTATTAGTCTGAGCCGTATTGGGAGATGTAGACTACCTGGCTTGGACCCCCGAGACGATGGGAATCGGTGGTTGAGAACTCTAATTGTCATGGCTGAAAGTTGGTCGCACTGACGCAGATGTATAAGCTCCTTGATATCTAAAGCTTGAATATTTGCACTAAACTTTATCTTCAGATTGTTTATTCTTCCACATAACTTCGTCTAGTTTGATATCACTCTTATTCTGTCCCACCTTTATTTTTATACTACTGTGAGGTGTGGCAACGCGCTGGTGCATTTATATGCAAGGTCCTCCGTTAATTCTATCTATCCGTCTGCACAAAGACATGTATGCTACTCATATTAGTCGTGGAGAACAGAGACAGGTTATTATTTATTCCTATAAGTAATTCAAAATAATTCGCAAACTTTCTATCACCCAGTCAAAACCGATAGTTTAACAATTGCATCACCTGTTAGTTGTTTTTTTTTGTCTATAATTATAATCACACCATATGTTTCATGAATTTATTAGATTTAATTTCGTTCGGCTACCATTCCTAAATCCCATCTCAGTGATTATATGTAGGTATAATTTACACCCGCTTACCTTCATTTTTCAGAAAACTACTTCTTTATTTGATTTCATTTTTCCCCTGGCTAACTAACCAACCAAAATTTATCTACTGTTTTTTTATTTTAGCTGTTGAAATTCAGTACGAATTATACAATCCAACTATACAGTCTGTTGAAGTATTTTTACTAGAGAAGCGTTTAGATCAAAACCTTTTGTACTTACGTGATGCTCCACTGGAAGAAAGTCGATTTCCATTTAACATGTCGCGTACACCTTATAACCCTGCTGATCCTGTCCCGGTTAATGATAAAAAAGTATGTTCACATAGTAATAGTACCAACGTTTGAGATGAATGACTGCCCATGAATGGTTTGAATTTTCGTTTTATTCACAGTTTGCGTGAACAGTTTATTAACCATGTTCGGCAGTCGTCTTGGCAATGGAAGAGTAATAACAGTTACTTTAATTCTAAGCCGATCAAGAAGTGTTGGCCAAAAGCGGAGAATCTTACCGGTACTGATGATTCTGAATGCTGGTTGTATAGTACACACTGTAACTTTCTTAGTGAACTTTGTGTAACATCACCAAGTATCACGAATTAATTTTGGGGTACGAAACCACAGTCCCCCACCCCGCCAGCAACCATTATTGATGGTGCATCTACTACATAGGCGCGTATTTGGATGCCTAATTGGGTATACCGCGAGCTATTGCACTTCAAGTTGTTTTAAGCACATGGTTCGGTTTCTGGAAACATAAGTAAAGAGTTGGAATTGGTTGCTGGGTGATTGTCTGCTGCAATATTGTCGTCCAATGGATTTATGTACTTGTAACTGATATAAGTGATCATGGCTGAATTAGCCAAAAAAACATGATGAGTTTTAAGAAACATTATAAAAATAACCAACTATGATAGTGAAGATTGACAGAAGTAGAAGAATGTGAACTATCGAGTTCCATTCCAGCTGTTAAGTGGTAAAGTACTCATCGAGAGATATGACGATCCTGGACTCGATATCTTATGCAGTTGTTTGTCTCCAACTTTGAGGAGTCTTAAACCCATGGTGAAATATCTGTTCAGTATTTCTCGATTTTCACTAGTTTTCCAATAATATCATTTCTTGATTAAAATTGCTTTGAAATCCCTACAATCCACTATTTATCTGTGGCTTGGCACACTGGTGTTACTAATACTGGGTGATGGTTGAAAATGAGATGAAATCCTGAGTCGTTATGGGATTCGAAACAGCGCCTTCCGCGTTACCGACCTGGCGATCTACCAACCGAGCTGTGTTTAAATGAGATTATCGAGAGAATCATTAGCTAAATTTAGAAATGAATAAAATTACTTTTGAAATCTCGTCAATATCAATCGTTATTCACTGAATTTCTTTCAACCTTGCTGTAAATGTGGCTTTGTATATAGCACTCGGGTTTGTTCCATAGGTATTATTATTTTGTTATAAATTCTTTAATCGACTTGCAGTAAGCGTTCAGGGGTAACCCACTGGCTGTAGCTGCTAATGAAAGACAGAATTTTGAACTCATTAAATTGCAGTATACAGACATTTGAAGCTTATTTCTAACTCGTCTTAGCTAAATTATTACTTCAAAATTCGTGTATACCGTTGGACACTCAAAAGCCAGTTGCTCCATTATAATTCTTTTTCATATGTATCACACAGTGAAACACTATTATCTTCATATGATGTTTCGACCAGGGTTTATTACTCATGTCATATCAAGAGTCAAAGAGCTCATTCTGTCCTAATTTACGGAGTTGAACATTACGAAGTTGTGGGTATATTAAATCACTTTTGCCTTTAAAGTGTGATCATTGAGTTGCATTTCCTAATGTTTTCATTTGTGTTGTACCTATTTCAATTCAAAATGCTTTACATTTTGTTTAGGTAAAGTTACTTCCACCACCGTGGAAATTCAAATGGTATTTACATGGTTACCGAGGGATACACGATAGTATGTTTGATTATTTATCACCGGAACAGTTTTCTGAAATTCAGTACAAAATAACTCTTGTTGACCGATATGATCTGATGAAGATGTATAGGTAAGTGTTTATTTATTTTGATTTCTTATTTGAAATACATCGATATTTAATAAAATTTGTGTATGTATACATAGAAAAAAATATTCGGAATGCACTCACAAACCTTGTGCCCATTCATGCACTAAGAACTGAGCCACACTTGTTGTATAAAGGCTATTGATACTACCCGGCTGTCCAAACCTCGGTTAGTGGAGCTTGGCTCCAACCCTTGACCCGTTGGTTGAAATTCATCTCCCTAAACCAATGACCCAGAGCTTTACGTGTGTATATGGGATCTCATGTATACAAGAATGAATTCCATGAACAAGATATATGATTACATAACCTGTCTGTTAATCTCCTGACGCAATCTTTCGTCCCATATGCCAAAACATTTTGCTGCCATCCATATTATTTTTCTTGAACCCTATTGAATAAGATATATGACTGTGACTTCTTCTTAGCATGTCGTGTTAACTTCATCCTCATGTTTGCATTCCCTATTTATACCATATCGATTGTTGTTCACTAAAATTCATTTAATTGTACAAAGCTGTGTTCAAGATCTTTTATTGAATGATATTTAAACGTTTCAGGTTGTAAGTAGCTAATGAGAAACTGGGGAAATAAAATAGTACCATGTTATTATTCTGCTCCAGTCGTTATTTTTCCATTGAAGATTACTTTTCATCATAGAAATGCGATTCGTTCGCATTTTTGTTTGAGGTTTTGTCGTTGTACACCCTAAAGCATATCATTGAAAGGTGGAAGCGCTAAGTAATCAGGGTATGCTGCATACCATAAAACTTCCAGCTACCTTACTGCTCATCAGAATATCTGCGTAAAACAATTTATTTCATATTCAACTCGGTAATATTTTTAGTATAGATGAAATTTCAGACGTGCAGGCTATCTCTTACATCATTCAGTGGTTCATATTAATTTTCACTTGTATCCTACCTTTTGTACATATGAGACTACTAGTTCAGGTGATTTGTAGACTACTATTGGCTATGGATTGTTGCATACCTTCAGAATTTTTATTCTTTTTTTCTGTTTCGTAAAACTTAGATCACGTTTATGTTTGGAAGAAGAACAAATCGCCCTGGGTGACGTCCAAATTCAGCATCAAGATCTTGTACGCTTTCATGAGCAGCGTCAGCAAGAAGAGGTTGAAAAGCATAAAAAAACTAAAAAGATTGATAAAGTTGCTGCCCATAGTGGTCATTAGTCTTGTATGTAATTTTAAGTAGATATTTTGCTGGCTTACTTTGTCTTTGTAAATACATATATTAACATTATAATGAACTTCTGTTAATTGTTCTTAAAACTTGAACTGACAGCTAGTTAACACTATGTATGCAGGTAATAGATTCATTTTGTTTTGCATTCGAACAATGCGTCGGAGTTTTTAACCTCGGTGTTTGCACTATTGTTTTGGTGACATTTTCCTTTCCCCAATAAGATATTCCTGATTAAGTGTTATAGAATCAGTCAGCACATTCGAGTTGACTACGAAGTTGCACTTACGGACAATTTTTTGCTATTGACAAATCAGCTTGTCGATTGGGCAATAAAAATTTGCCAATAAGTGTATCCTGAAGTCTCAATGAAAAGTCGCAACCATTGGAGCGAACCTGTAGGCCTTGAGGGTGATGATCTTGCCAAGTCGTGAGGTGACAGAAGTCGGAAATACCGATCGTTGGATTTCGACCCACTGGCTCAATGGTAACTTGCTGGCCACGGAACCTAAAGACCCTGGGTTCGATCCCTGACAGGGTCGTGAATGCGCACTGCTGAAGAGTCCCATACTAGGACAAAACAGCTCTCCAATGCTCCCAGGTTCCCAATGTTTCTCTAACTGATGTCAGTCCATGGTGAAAACCAACTTAAAATATCTCTAAATCTCCACGAATCCCAAATTCAACAAAACACCGCACTGAACACGCGCGGATTTTGCTGGCGATGTTCCCATTTTTTGCATTAGTTTATGATTTGCTTTGTAGATAGATTTCTGTACGAAATCTTTGTATTCTGTTCCTACTCATTTGTTGGACTAGTTGTTCAACTGTTACTATAAAATGAATTCCTTATGTGAACGCCTTTACTCTTGCAAGCAAAAATAACACCATTGTACTTGGAAAACAGTAAATTTTCGGTCATTTAACTATTGTCAAATAGTATCCTATTTGTAAACCGGTCGTTAGTGTTAATTAAATACTGACTTTGAAAATCCTACTAATCAAGTATGTATTTGCGTATAAGAAGGACTTGAGCCGTCTAGTTTTAGTTAACCTTTGACTTGAGCCTGTATTTATCGATTCAGCATTCAAAGTGTGACCACAAAACATTCACCTATTGAATTTTCCGTACTGTACTTGAATTCATCTTAGCTGAAAGTCAAATTATGCCGAAAGATAGGGTCAGTTATACTTGGGTGTGTCAATACAGTCCTGAAACTCAATATAAGGCATATCACTTAAGTGTTTTCTGAGCATCAGTCAGAAAAAATAAATGTATGATCATTAGGTGCATGAAATTTAGGCCAGGATGAGTGTAGGTTGTTCAAACCCTTTAAAATCAACATTTTTGATCAAATAAATGGTTTTACATATTTGGATAACACAACGTAGTGTATCTGAAAAAACCCCCACATTTTTTCGAAAAATAACTATCCAGATTCATAAAAGGAACTGTTTCGAATTTTACATATATTTCGTTTTCCGGTCATAAATTTATACATATATACAATCGCTGTGAAACCTGAAGGTCCTGAGTTTGATCCTTAACTGGGCCGTGGGTGCGTACTGCTGAGGAGTTCTATACTAGGATGAAACAGCTGTCGAGTGCTCCCAGGTTTTGAGAGGTTCTCCAATCGATGTCAGTCCGTCATGAGTTCTACCTATATATATATATATATATATGTTATATATATATATATATATATATATATATATATATATATATATATATCGCAGATTAACTCTCATCATCTGACGTCGAAATGATATGCATCACAGTGTCATTTAACTTCTTTTAGTGGTCATATTGAAAAACTGAATCAATAGACTTCGATCAATGCTACGGACTAGACACCTCCTACATCAGTTACTCACTGGTGGCCGATTCGTGTATATGCATCATTACTCATACTTTGTAGACCTTGAACAAGAAATAACTTTTCGATCTTTTTGGGCAGGGATTTCAGTTAGCACTTTGACAATTAAGCACCCAAAATCAATAGCATAGGGTTCGACGAGACTCAATGTTGATGCTGATCTTAATAGTTTTAGCAAACTGGCTAAGTTGATACACGGTCTGGCAACCAGACCATTTGGCACGTTGTGTTACGTTGCTCGTACGCAATCCTCTAGCCAGTTTGTCGAAACATATCGATATTTTGGTACGCTCTATCAAGTATACTATTCCTGACTACGCTGCTGTATTCTTTGTTAGCCACACCCATGAGTACTCTACAAGCACGAAGAGCTACTGGTCGGCTTCTCAATCTGTCAAATTTGCATAAGGCCAATCCCTAAATATGTGTATCACCACGGTTTGTTTCATGAAAGCCTTTATAAACACATGTCTGTTGTATGTTAAACTGACGCTTCTTGTGTGAAAAGCTCCATCTGTGATGTAGTTAATTAGCTTAAGCACTCAACCTACAAGTAATTTGGTCATAGGCTTTAATCCCACTCCACATTCGTTCTGGGAAATTGGGTAATATAGTATCATAGCGTAGTACACATATACTTGTAGTGTTGTGTCGCATTGCTTTTTTATCGGTACTCTACAAGAATAACAACTGAAGGATTTCGGGTTCGCCTACTCATGTGATAAAGAACAGATGACGCTTCAACCGAATACAGTTTGTGTGAACTGTATTTCACGAGAAGTTTCTTCTTAGCCATTCTCGTAAACATTTCATAACCACTTATCATGAAGTTATTACTAACAATAGACCAAAATTATTTAGGGATTTTCATTCATTATAAAATACAATGACTATCATACTGTCAACGCTTCTTAATTACAAAGAGAATATAACAAAAGTAACTTCTCCGTTGACTTGAAAGTCAAAACCATTGGAAGTACGGACGGTCACCTTTCGATAAAATTGGATCATGATTGTGCTGTACCATGAGTCACCTAAAGTTGAAACATATGCTTAATTAGGTTTTAGCATACTAGATGAAGTTCACTGTTCGTACTATTAAACCGATAGATTCTGTGTGAACTAAACCGGGCTCATTACTGAAAATTCTCAAGCTAAGGTGGAATAGTTTCCCAATGCTACCTGGGGTTCTGGTGAGAAATATCCTTAGTGAGTCAATCAAATGAATTACTGAGAACCCAACTTAAACCCAGTATTTTTATGCTGAATTAACCATAAAGCAGCTATCAGTTTTTAATTCAAAATGTCTAACAATAATTTACATACTGTGACAAAAGTATTTGGAATCCATGCTGATGTTCAGCCAGCTTTCGTTGTGATGAGAGTTTTTAAAGACTTGCAGCTTTTGGCTACTAATTTGCTTACAGAGATCTATGTCTGAAATATTTTCATCTGAACTCAGCTATTATGTTTTAAAGGTACTGTGTGGTGGGTTGTACAAGACACCCAGCATATACAATTTACATTGTTAATTTTTTTCGACCAAAACCATGATCCATGCTGATGGTAAACTATCTAGCAATGAAACGTCCAAGAAACGTTACGTCAGTTATCAATTTGGTATTCTATTTTTCTACAATATTTCAGTCGTATATGAATTACAATGTGAATCAAGAAACAAGTTGTGAGATAATTCGAGTCAATGTTTCTAACCTGTAGACCAGAGGTTTGAGCATTTGACTAACAACCAATATGCCAACTATTTAAAACCAAAAATACTCTGTTATTGACCAGCAAGTAGTATTGTTAGTCTCAGAAAAATTCTTCACTTTACAGCTGGTATGTAGTTAATGATCAAGTGTCTTTGCAGCACTATTCACATGTGATAGAACTGTATACTGAGTAATGTGGATGTAGGTAGACTGTAGACCACTAGAACAGTAAGCCAAGTTTATCTATGAGCCTACGTGAACCGCTCTAGCCAAAACCATTTACTAGGCACCATTAGCTAAAGAATATTAGGTAGGTTGTAAAAAAGCTTAAGGTTGCCAGACGATGACAGGTCACCAATGTATAAAGTTAATGGTCTGGGTTATATATATAGGAGTAATGCTCCTTGAGTCGAGTTCCCAGGACTATCGGTAATATGACTCATTTAATAACACTACTAAAATATCTATCCTTTTGATTTTCAAAATCTTGAACATGTTACTAGCCTTCATTTACTGTTGTTGTCTCCGTTATTATATCTTCTTTACTTGAAAGTGGTTTCTGTTATTGGTTGATATCAGCTGAAGAACAGTTTAAAGACGGAACAGGTGTTCTCTCTCACTTTCGGCATCTTCATGGGTAGTTGTGTAATTGTTCTTCACCTCGACATCTTTCTCCGTTTGTAGGTTTTCTACTGTTGTGAATTGTGTCAACATGAACAGAGGTTATATGTCCTAAAACCTGCCCATGGTATTCATATTACTACTTAAACGCAAACTTCGTACTGATTAGGTACCAAAAGATGGCGCCATGCAAAATAATAAGGTATCGTTATGGAGACAGAAAAGCAAATGAAAACAAAAAACAGAAGTGGGTTATTGGATGAGTTATCACTTTATTGACAAGGATGTCATGCGTGTAGGAGCTTACTTCTGGTTATGTAATGTTTAACGATATTCTCACTGGTTATTGTTTTTCTGTATGAGAAGAGAAGCGTACAGTCTAGTGTAATGAAATACCTCGAGATTTTGAAAACAAAATTTAAATACATATGCAACTTATGAAGATAGGAATGGATAAAGGCTCGGCCTTTAATGGCTGGGCAGAAATCTAACCGTAGGTTCGGTGGAATGCACTTTCATATCCATTATAATTTCATCTCATCAATCATATTTTCTCCTCTTTTTATATTTCCTTCAGGGATTCATTATTAAAAGGTTCCAGACTTCAATTATATGCTGTTATTCATACTTTAGCTTTAGGACTTACTCACTCTAATACAAACTGCACTCGTAGTACTGCATTTCCGTATAATCCGAGGCTAAATAACTCAACTGCAGGCGGTCATTTCAGACAGTCGATTAGAATCACTCATGCATGGTTATCTACAAGAACTTTGTGCTTGTCATGATAATATATACAAAGATGATTAGTATAACCATAACGGGTCATCTGAAATTCAGATATGTATTT